TGAAATTACTGGCTGGATAATACTTTGCATTAGTGAGCATTCTGTTGCATTTGATTTTGATACTGTTTTGATTAGACGCACAAGTCACATGATAGGTTTCTGTCCTTTGAGTGGATGAGCATAATTCTTAGAATCAGGTTTCTGGTTCAAATGGTCATGATAATGAAAGCGAAATTCCCTTCCCATGAATATTCTCTGGTATTTATTTAGGCCCAATTCAGCAAGGTACTTAAGCATGTGTGCAACTTGAAGAACATGAATAGTGCCATTGAACTGATGTATCCGCAGAAACAACACTTTGAAGCCCTAATTCAGAAGGTACTTATGCATATGCCTAACTTTAAGCATGTGATGAATCCCATTAAAGTCAAATGGGAATCAAAGGTAGACATGTGTTTCTGTACCTTGCTGAACTGGGGTTCCATGGTCTCTCTCTGCAAACACTCTAGCCAGTAAATTGGTTCCCGGAATATCTGCAGAGAACAAACGCAGAAGTCTAAATTCTGTTTGTAAATTCAGCCCAAGGTTTTGCAGTATTTGCCCAGCTCTGCTTAAGACAGAAGTTGTTGGTTAGTGGGGGTGGAAATGTTAGCACAGGTTTCACTGAATCTGACAAATATAGATCCACTTCCCCATTCACTTTTGTTCAGAATGTTCTCACTGCTTGCTAATGACTAAAGCTATTTGGGCTCGAACAGGGGCTTGTTTCCTCCTGGCTCATCTGCTCTTCCTGCTTCATCCTGCAGTGCAGGATACACCCCCCCAACGCCCTCCCTGCAGGCATGGAGGGCCCTGATTCAGTGGGAAGGGTGTGATGCTGCGGTATACCATACCCCTTGAGCATCACACAACCCTGCACCATAGTTTGCAAAGGCTTTGGTAGGCAGGGGTGGGTTAGGGGAGAAGTCAGGCTAAGCCATTGGTCTGTAACCATGAAAACACATCTACAACTCTCTTCTATGGAGGAGGACTATACCAGTCACATGGTATGGTGGCATGGCAATGATTAAACTGATCCAATGCCACACTGTCAATTTGCAAGGGTAAAATGCCTTTCTCCATGAGTTTCACCCCAGTGCTGAGATTCCCAGGACAAGCCCGAGCCACTCGAGTGCCATGATTTTTTCTATCCAGGTACTTGTATGGCCCCTTCTCATGCTGATGTCCAGATTTGTCTCCTAATGCTTCATTTGTAACATTGCAATGACCACCAGGGCAACTGACTGCGATGTCATAAACATGGGATTCTGCTGTCACTGAAGGATCAGGCAGAAAAGGGGGAAAATAAACCAAGGCTGTGAAGGAGAGAAACTTGTTATAGATACAACTGTTGTCAACAATAGCAAAGCAAACCCAGGAAATACATGGATCAGAGGATATACCTCCTCTTTTTTCAAGCTGGCTTCAATGTTAAAAGTCCCCATTTAATTTCTGTTTTCAGAACCACCTAAAAATCATTTTCCCCACAGAATACACATTACATGATCAGTTAATCCTTATCAGCAGCGAATCAGTGTCTACTATTGTTTTTTTTAAATTTCAGTCCACTATACTAACAGACAAACTAGAAGGTGAAATAATAAAGCTTTTCTGAACCGACTAGTTTGATGGCACCTGCATGATAGCGACCAATGCAGAAGAGACATTACCTGCCCAGAAATAACTAAAGCATAATCGGGGAGGGTGAGTTTCATTTTGCCACAGACAGTATTTTCCCATTCACCTGCCTCCTCACTAGCTGTGCTGCAGGGTCAATATCCAGTTTGTCTTTCAGGAGGTGATCCAGTGGGAAATCTAGGCTGCTTTAGGAATAAAAAGTCAACCGCAAAATCAGCAGTGTGTGGCATTGACACTGCAGAACTGACATTCAGTCTCAGGAAGTTCCCAGGCAGCCTACAGTCGCCAGTCTCCTGCAGGCGACTGGTGTTAGCTGGGTTAGTTTTATGTTTTCCTGACAAGAACATTGGTGTTGGTGTCACAGATGAGAACTGTGACTCTGGAGGTAACAATTCAACAATCGAGGCTGCAAGCAAAGACCAGAAGGAGGGAGTCCAGGGAAAAAAAAAGTTAACAAATCACAGTGGTGCCATTTAAACAAATAAAGCTAAGAGGAGCATAACTCAGAGAAGCATAACTCAAGTCTCCGAGATGGAGACCACATGCAATGAGTGAACACAATGGTTTGATGAGATGGCCCCTTGGAAAATAACCAGCTGTGCTTTCTTATCATACCTCACACCCACCTGCACTGGTTACATACTGTTAGTTTTTACACTCATTCATAACACTGGTTTAGAACTCAACTGGCAGGCCAGGCTGGGGTGTAGTCTGCCGAGTTACACCTGTCGCTAGACGTGCGTGGCTGTAAGTTGAAAAGATTTGGCTCTGAAGAGGGATCGATCCGTAGTGAATCAATGACAGTAAAAATCTCCGCTCTCTCCTCCCCACAAATACCTGTCAGATCCCCAGCCACAGTTCTTGAGAAACAAAAGCTTTCCATCTCCTCGACTTCTGGCAGAAAGAAATGTTTTACTTTTAACTTCTTCTGATCCTTTTCTTAAGGTACTAATCCGAACAGAGCAATAATAAAATGATCCAATTCTTGTGGAATACCAGCAACATTAAGACAAATCTAATTTCTAGTCTAGAATGAAATGGAAATTATTGTAAAGCCACAGCTAAATGTGACACTATTCGCATCCAGCATGGAGGTATTGTAGACATACTGGACTGTGGCAGAAAATTGACCAAAAATCAATTGAGGGAGTGCACTCTTGCAATGGACTCGCCTTTCTGTATGTCACTCCTCTTTATTTTGCAGAAGGAAAACATTTTATTTTTGCAAGACAAATTTGGACCAGGCCATATTCTGATTATTGTTATAAGCAATTAAATCAAAATCAGAAACTTCAGTCTGATGTTAGAAGAGAATGCAAATAGGGGCTGCTTGAGCTTCATTTTATATGCAGCAGCATATACAGGAAAGCGCCATCGGCCAAATTCTGGGTTAAACCAGTGTAAATGTGGTGTAAATCCACTGACTCAAAATCAAGTTACTTCATATTTACATGGGTGCAACTGAGATCAGAATTTATTGGGCCAACTTAATTTATTTGGAAGATGAAGTTCTGAGATAAGTTAAGGCTTTTAGGGCCTTATTATGACTTAAATTAAGGTCCCTTTACACCAGTCCGGCAGCACAAATAGGTCTTATAGTGGCATAAATTGCATTAACAGCCACTTTAACCCCCATTTACATTGCCAGAGAGATGGCAAGAAACCTTAGTATGAATATGAATAAGGCCCTAAATGAAAAACACTGTATGTCAGGGAGCACACTCCAGTTTTAGATAATGTAGGATTTTGGATAAGAGGGGCTCAGCTCAACAAGGTCCCACACCATTGACTGCTGTTCCTGTCTACCAAATCTGGGGCAGGATTCTGCATCACTGAAGCCAATGGGAATTTTACCGCTGACTTCAATGAGACCAGTATCAGGCATTTTAACGTGTTTCTTAGAAATTAATGGCTGTGTATTTTTGATTTTGCTTTGAGAATGGAGCCAAATAACCTCTTTGAAGAGCAATTACTCTATTAAAAATCGAGCATGCATATCAGTGCTCTGGTATGTCACTGTCACATGTTGGTCCAGATCCTCAGCTGGTGAAAATCAGAGTAGTTCAACTGACTTCAAAGGAATGATGCTACTTTACATTGGCTGGGTATCTGGCCCATTATGTCAGAGACTGGATGTATCTCTGAGGTTTTACAAGGTGATATAGAGGAGTGTCAGATATCCACAGTGAAAAGTCAGATGCACACGAGTGTTTTATGGAGTTCACATTAAATCATTATAGTTTGAATGTCTGTGCTAGGCACAATATGATATGGGGTTGTTGGGAACCTCTAGAGGAAACTGGTTAAATCATACTCCAAATCTCCAGACTGAAAATGGTGTACAGATTAATACTGACTCAACCGAGATCTAATATATGTAATATCTTTATGAGCGGCTAGTGCAATGACATCTTTGTAAAGAGCTAGCACTATGTACCACCTGGTTTTCTTGAAATCCTGACTCCTCTGAAGTTAATGGCCAAACTCCCACTGACTTCAATAGGGGCAGGATTTCACCTTACATCTTTGAAATCTCAATGAAAAGTAAATGTCATGGCTTTTTGTAGCATGTTCACTACGGCCGTATACATTCAGATGTGTCTGTGACTGGTTCATCTAATTCTTTACAGACAATAACTGACATGGATGTGGCAACAGAATTGTTTAAGGAAAAATGATTCCTGCCTCCCTGTGGAGATGGCTGTATTTGGGGTGTAGGGAGCCAGTAATAGCTTAAATGTGCCTGAGTCTCATCAACTCCCCTTCTACCTTTTCTCCTCCTAGAAGAAAAATCAAAGCTGGGAATGACTTGTAGAGATCTGGACACGTCTCACAAGGTTTGTAAGTGCGGTGATCTCTGAACACTGCCTTCTCTTCTGTTCCAGGATATTTAAAACATTTATGATAAAGCAGTGACAGTGCCTGTTTTTTGCCCTTTCTATGCTTGCGGTGGCGTATAGGGTACAGGTAGCTTATACGCCACAATGAAAGGCAGGCTGCGTCCACATTGCAGTGTGTATCATTATCACCACTTTACAGATGGGGAAACTGAGGCACGGCATTTTTGTTTTTAAAAGGCCAAAACTTTCAATAATGCTTTCTGATTTTTGGTGCCCAGCTTGGGGCACCTGGGGCCTAGCTCTGAGCCACCAATAACTTCAGCTGAGGTCAGTGGGTTGCAGTGCTCACCAGCTCTCAATTAGCAGGCCCCAAACTGGAGGTACTCAAAATCAGAGGCCACATTTGAAATTTTTGACCTTGGGCAGTGACTTGCCCAAAGCTCAAGCAGCAAGTTAGTGGCAGAGATGGGAATAGAACCCAGGCTCTCCTGACTCCTAGTTATGTGGCCTCACTGATGGACCACAAAGGGTTTAACCAAGGAATAAGAGCTGCAGGATGAAGTATTATACCATTTTCCACATGCTTACTGAACTAAGGGCTGCTCCTGGCTGAGAACTTTGCCACTCCCGTCAAAGTCAATGAATGTTGCAGGTTCACAGCACGTCCTGATGGGTTGTTTTCAATCAACTCTCACCATTGTTTCCAAGAAGGAGGAAGAGAGGGAAAGCAGATTGTTTTAGTGTAACGGCACTGCTAGATCTAGACAGGTGTACAGTCCAATTTTAGGAATTAAAAATGGCATGCATGCCTTTGAAACCCTCCTGTTTTGGAAGGTCAATGCAAATCTCTACCGACAGAAGTAACCTATCCCTCAGCAAACTGGAAGGAGGGATGCAACTGGAAGTACTTGCTAAAAGAAAAAAAAAAGTCTATTTCTCAAAAATTATCTCTATTTAAATAATCCAGCCGAGACCTTTTTAGTTAATGGAAAAAAAATACAACATATACTGTTACCTACACTGAGAAGAGAGTAAATCACCGGGAAAAAGAATGCGCGTCTGTTAGAACATTGCTAGACTCATATATACAGCACCAGAGACTGTTAAATCCGTTCCCCCTGGAGTCATTGCAGTTTGTGCTAAATGAAACATTTCAGAATTGCAGTATAAAATATGGCCATAAAAAATCTTCTCTCTTCTAGTCCTTCGCCGAGTGCACAATGCAGGATGAAATCACTCGGAGTAGGTACGCTCGACCCGATGGCTCTCCCGTCTCTATCCTCCTCCGCTGATCACTTGCTCCCCGTGTGCACTGTTGTTACTGTGGTTGGCCTGGGTCTCCGTTCTCCTCCTACTGCAGAAATACCCGAAGAAGCAGATGAAACAAAACTACAGAGAGCAGATGGGGACATACCTAAAAGGAAAGCCAGAAAAACCAATGAGCAAACTGTTAGAATGCTGATTTGCTGAGCCAGAAATGACCAGGGTCATTCTATAAAGTGGAGAGGAAATAGTCACTGGAAGGATAACCAGCATGGTTTTTCCCATTTTTCCTGCAGCGATGAAGTAGCAGCTGTGGATTCATTGGGGCATATTCTCCCCACTGTTCCATGTGCAGTTTCTCCCATCAATATCAATAGGAGTTTCATGCATGGATCATGAAGAGAACATGCCCAATTACGGTACCCATTTAGTTACAATGGTGCTATATTTTTTAATTGGAGACTCATTGTATCTTTTATAATAAAAAGTTTTCTGATTTTAAAAAGCTCTCCAGAATTGTACTAATCCCCCAGACTTACACAGACATCTGCACTAGGGATGGTCAAAACTGTTCTCCCGAAACTGTTTTTTTGATTGAAAATTGTTTTTATGGATACATTTTTTGTGAAAAGTGTCTGCTTTCCACAAAAACCTCAATATTTGGTCAAAAAAAATGAACACCCAAACCCCAAAATGTTTCAGTTGAAAGCCAAAATATTTTGCCTGAAAAACGAAATATTTTGGTTTTTGATATTTCAACCAAAAGTCAGAAAACTCTACAGAAAATTACAATGAAAACAAAGAACAACAAATTTTGTCAAAAATTTCCACAAACCCGACTCCCTATTTTCTGACCGATTCTAATATGCACTTCAACTTCGAACAGATTTTGTACCCAGAAACGGCCAAGGTTGGCTCTGTACGTGGTTCGTGACTGCACATCACATGGTGAAACTCTGTTAGTGATGACGGTAACTAACAATGGGTCCCCGCTGTCAGAGGCCTAGGCTGCTGCACATCAGTTTTCCTGGTACTGGTTCAGCACACAGGATTTTTGCAATGCAAACAGGATACCATAAGTATGTTTGTGTAATTGGTTTAGCCAGTCCTCTCTTCCCATCCTGTTTTCTGTCTGTCAGAAACTCCCAGAGTGCATTGCACCACATGCTGCTGATGTTACTCTCTGTGCATGTCCACTGATGCTCTATCCTCTGCTAAGGCACTGGGATACCTGCCTAGATTTTCCCTGTGGGCACCAGTACAACCATAGTTAGGCAGCATGAGATACAGATGCACAAACTAGCTGTGGTGTTAGAAAGGCTGCTGAACGGTAAGCAGCTAAGGTGACCGTGCCCTAACCAGATACAAAATCACAGTTAAGAGCATTAGGGTCAGATTCTCTCATCTGCTCAAGGACCAGAGGGTGGGTCAATTGACGTGGTTTAAAGTCACATTTACATTCCCTCCATCCTGAGACTGACCCCCAGTATAAACAGCCTGAAGCCTGCTACAAGTTTTGCCCAGGTGCCCCCTAGCCAAAAGGACATTCCAGCATCTGGGGATCGCTTGGGTGTAAAGATATCCCAGCCACATCCCCTTTTCCAGCACCGTGGAGACCTGCTATTCTGGCTGTGCACTGTAATCCCACATGTTTCCCCCTGACACAAGAGGGAATCCCCAGAGATCCAGGCTTTATGGAAGCTCTACACTGCTTGAGCAGCATAAAGCAGCCAGACAGGGCTAAGAGTCTGGCCCATATCCTGGGCAGGGCCTAATTTACTTATTTAGATTCACACCTCCTTTACCGACATGTAATTTATACCATCCTAATACAGCCCCTCTGAGTTAGCCTCATGTCCTCACACAAGTAGGAGAGAATTAGAATGTACCCTGGAAAATCTAGTCTCAGACTATTGTAGCCCCGGCTGCTCTTCATCAGTGTTGAAACTATTACAGCACAAATATCAATGTGCAGAGGGCCAATACATTTTGCGACAGCATAACATTTACTATTAATGGTATTAATCAGTATTAAAAATCTTAGCACTGACAGCAATTGCTTTATGTAGCTCGCCATTCAGTCACAGCTGCTTGTTGCTTCGAGCATTGCCATCTGAATAATAAGATACACTCCAATAACGGAGCCGCATAATTGGCTTCATTGCTGTATAATTGTTAATAAGCATCTCTTGATGCTGAAGGGCAGCATCTGTAGAACTCTGGGCCCCATTTCTTTTCTTCCCCTCCCCCTCTATCTGACGTTCTCTAAAATAAAATTAAGTTTGAAAAATGTGAAGGTGAAAGTGATGGCCACGGCGTGGCAGAACCTGTACAGCTAGCACGGCTTTCCCCCAAATCCCAACAGAGAGCTGACATAGGAGGCACTACTTGAGAGGCACTTTGGAGGCACTGTTTGAAACAAGACTGGTCAGTGGGTTGAAGTGAGACTAACCTGTTACACTGGCTGGCAATGAACTAAAGGTTGGTTGCAGTGAATAGCTCGCATGCTCCTCTTGTTGTGTAGAGTAAAAGCCATTCACCTGAGTGAAGTTATTCCTGATTCACGTGAGGGAAAGTGAAAGGGGAATGAAGCCCCATATCGGTGAAGCAGGAAGAACCTGGGTTTTCTTTAGTCACTCACTTAGTGTGGGACCATGGGCAAGTCACTTGACCTACTTGTACATCTATCTGCAGCTGTGCAGTACTTTTCCCATGTAAGAAATTCTTTCCCAAATAAAACTAATGAGGAAGGAGGAGGCAGGAAAGAGCTCTTCAGAGATATTCCTTTTTCCCAGGACCCAGTTGATCTGCAGATTGTATTGGATGTATAAACTTTCCCTTATTTTCATGAGTTCTATTTGCAGTTCCTTTGGGATTCTACTACTACTTGCTGCATTCCCCCTAACTGTTCTCTTTAATTTACTGCGTATTCACTAGTAAGATCTCTCATGGTGTTCAGTTTGGGATGCTAGGGAATCTTGCCGTTCTTTTCTGCCTTAAATTCCAGGTGACATACAAACATACCCAGCTCAGCATGTCTGGTCCACTCTTAATGTCCTTGGCTGCTTAATCCATCATTCTGCAACATTCCACTGCCAGATATTGTACTGGGCCATCTTAGCATTTGTAACAGCAGTAAGTGGATTTTGTTCTTGTTCTCATCCTCCCCTTCACCACCCCTTGTAAACAGTGATTTCCTCATTATAATAATCAAAACCCATTTGAGGTCAGAAGCAGTGACAGTTTAATCTTCCATTATCTACAGTTAACAGTGAAATCAGCAATCAGATTCTCTGGGTCTAACTTACGTCCCGCATTTGTGTACTGTCCTCAAATTCAAAATGAAACCTCAGATCTTCATGCAACAGGCTCTCTGCTGCAGTCTACCGTGGTGAGAATGTTTTAGCTCCACAGTAGAAGTGATTTGTAGATAAGAGGCATCATATTATTCATATGCGGGTGACAGTTGGGTGATTTAAGAAGACCACCTGGGAGAAAAGTAGTGCTTTCCTGTAAGCTGCTGGAGCATGTGGAACTGGGCTAGAATGGTGTATTCCAGGCAAAAAGGTTTTAGTGTGATATATTTCCACCAGTGAAGATTATCTGTATGAATCTCTACGGTGCCTGACATGCAAATGGAAAGGGCTCTGTTTTGGCTGACATTGCTTGAGTTGGGTGGGAGGAAGCAGAGGGGTTTGGCAGCAGTTGTAGTCCTTGCAGGCGTTCTGGCTGATGCAGCCGGAGTGTTTCCAAGGTGCTGGAGGGTGCGCACGCCAGAACGGGGGCTGTCACGTCTTTTAACTGAGTCCCTGTGTACTTCCTTGCATTCAGGAACGGAGTGGGGCAGGACTTTGCAAAGGGGTGCACGGTGGTGGGCAGGGGTGCGAAGGAGAGAAAGCAGGGTCAGCCAAAATCTGGCCCAATGAGTAGGGTGATTAAGGACTAAACATACAGTTCCATATGCACCATAGTACAATGAATCAAACACTGTGGTATGCTGCTGTAGAAAGAGCCAATTAAACCACCACTGAAACTGAGAAGTAACGTGCAGTCTAATAAGCCATTAGCCTATTCAGTTGCACATCTTAAATCTCCATATAACAGGACCTGATCTAATGGCTAAGTTTATATCTCCCATTTTAATTGGCTTTTTGTGATGTAAAAACCTCAAAAGAGAGAGAGCAGGGAAGAGTAAATCAATGCTCAAAGGATAGGGATAAAATGAACTTCATTGTGAAGGAAACCCTGCGCTCTCCCAAATGATCCCTGTTGCTGCCACCTAACCCTTCCCTGACATTCAGAAAAATATATAGGGCAGGTGTTCAAATCCCTTAGGCCAGGGGTCGGCAACCTTTCAGAAGTGGTGTGCCGAGTCTTCATTTATTTAAGGTTTCGTGTGCCAGTAATACATTTTTATGTTTTTAGAAGGTCTCTTTCTATAAGTCTATAATATAGAACTAAACTATTACTGTGTGTAAAGTAAATAAGGTTTTTAAAATGTTTAACAAGCTTCATTTAAAATTAAATTAAAATGCAGAGCCCCCGGGACCGGTGGCCAGGACCCAGGCTGTCTGAGTGCCACTGAAAATCAGCTCGCGTGCCGCCTTGGGCACACGTGCCATACGTTGCCTACCCCTGCCTTAGGCAGCTTTGAAATATCAGTCATGATGTATAACAATCAAGACACTGGGCCAAATCTGGTCTTCGTGTAAGAGGGTACGACTGCTACTAAAATAAAAGTGATTAGTGTCCACTGACCTCAGAGCCGATTTGCCCCACTGATTCTGGTGTCTCAGCCAAGGGGTAAATATTACAGCCAATCAGAAAATAGTTTTTTTCCCCTTGGGAAAATGCAAATACCGTAGGGTCAAATTTGTTGGGCTGACACAGTGGGAGGAAAGTAGAGTGATACGAGCTTTGATCCAGGTTGCTGTCAAAGCTGTCACACATTGCAGGAGAGAGCAACAGAGGGTGACCGCTGATTGATCACCGGTACCCTGCTAGGAGTTGGCAGCAGCCTTGCTATGCAGTCATGTACTTACAATCTTTCCTGGTTGTTCCATCGGGAAGTGGATTGGCCAGGCTGAGGGTGCTTGCCACGCTTGCATTTGAACTGTCCAAACTACTGCCAAGATGTAACTTTCTCATATGTCTCACAACTGCTGTGGCATTAAATGCTTGCTGGAAAGAGAGAAAAAAACCCACAGAAACACTTGGTTGTGAATTTATTCTTTTCTTTCAGAATTGTCAGATATGGATTTAAAAATAACAACTTTAAGGAGTTACTCTTTTTTAAACTAGATACAGAGAAAAAAAAAAGCACTTTCTCAAGTCTTGATCCTGTAACTCTTACTTCCAGTGAGTAGCGCTTAGGTAAACGCTGCTGTCTCTCACACCCCCTCTGTGCCCAACCTGCAGAAGACAGGAATCTGTTCCAGCAGCCGTGGCAGGGCCTTGACTCTTTAGCTCAACCTATAGCAACTCCCATGTTTGGGTCTGGAGGTTCCTGGTTCAATCCCCAGTACAGCAGCTGTAGCTTACTGATGTAAGTAGCACTAGTCTATCTACAATTCTGAGCCACAAATAAGATATTGCATCATCCCTTTAAAAGACTGTCACACAATTCAGTGTACAGGAAGGTTGCACCTGCTTTAGAAAACAGGTCAGTGTTCCTGGCTTGCAGCGTAACCCCCTGAGAACGTGGCACTTACTCTCCATTTGCTTTTTGCAAAGTTCTTTCGGATCTGAGCACTGACAGACTCATGGATATTTTTGCTGAGGGCGGTGTCCCCTGCGATCCTGAAACAGAAAAACAAGATCTTTTTACAGATGCTTTGCTCTAAAACACCCGTCTTTGACACCCCTCGCTTTAGAGCTCACGGTCTCAAAGGTTCTAAGGCCAGAAGGCACCACAGCGATCATCTTATCGGACCTCCTGTATAGCACATGCCACAGAACGCCTCGGAAATAGTTCCCATTTGAATTAGAGCAGGTCTTTTAGGGAAAAGATCCAATCTTGATTGAAAACATACCAGTGATGGAGAATCCACCAAAACCTTTGGCAAGTTGCTCCCATGGTTAATCACATTGACTGTGAAAAATGTGCATCTTATTTCCAGTTTGAATTGATCTAGTTTCAACTTCTAGCCACTGTATGTTGTTATATCTTTGGGCATGTCTTCACTACCCGCCGGATCGGCGGGTAGCAATCGATCTATTGGGGATCGACTGATCGCGTCTAGTGAAGATGCGATAAAATCGATCCCCGATGGCTCTGCCGTCGACTCCGGAAATCCACCACGGCAAGAGGCGGAAGCGGAGTCGACGGCAGCGCGGCAGCGGTCGACTCGCCGCCGTCCTCACAGCCAGGTAAGTCGACCTAAAATACGTAGCTGAAGTTGCGTATCTTAGGTCGCCCCCCCGCCCCCGTAGTGTAGACCTAGCCTAAGTCTGCTAGATAGAACAACCCTCTATTATCAGATTTCGGTTCCCCATATAGGTACTTACAAATTGTGATCAAGTCACCTCTTAACCTTCTGTTAAGCTAAATAAATCAAGTCCTTCCGTCTATCACTATAAGGCACATTTTCCAACCCTTTGATCATTTATAAAGGTGACCAGAAGTGGTCAGTGTAAGCATGATTGTTCATGTATTGAAATTATGGTATCATCTATTCTAGGGTTTTTTGTCTCTAACTTCCCACTGTTGTTACCAGTGGCTTAGACCAGTACTGATAGCACTGATGGGAGCATCAGTGTAACAAAGCACTGACGGACACTGGCATTTTGACCACTGTGTAATGTAGACTCGATCTAAGCAGGATTAGACAACATGGTGATTAAAAGGCCACCTATAATCCTGTCTCTGCTAGCACACCCAATGTTGCTTCCATTTTATTTTGTTGGTGTGTGGCGATTACAGATCTGGGTAAAAACACCCGTTTTTTCTTTTATGTGATTTCTAAAGTTTTAACATCAATATTTTATCCTCCAAACACACGGCAGTTTCCAAAGGAACTCCAGCCTGCCTGAATTCTGTTTGCACTGGAGATTTTCCTGCCACACTGAAATGTATGGAGTTGGTCATCATAACTAATGTAAGTTTGCACTCAGTAAAGCAGATACACGGAGTCTCTTAGCAAAGAAACGTGGACTGTCTGAGATAGCTCAATCTCCACAAGACACAGCCTTAAACATTTCCAGTTCTTGCATCAATAATTCATTTGCACAAAGGGACAAATTCATCCCTCCTGTAAACCCAGTTATCTCAGTGGAATTACACGTGGGGTGAATCTGGCCCATCAAGCCAGAAGTGCTGTTATAATAACAGTCACAGGAGTCAAGGATACCATGCCATATGACAGAGGTAAATCCTACTGTAAGCCTGGCCCAAGTCCTGGGGCTGAAACCAGGAAGTAAAGGCTGGGCTCCTGGGTGATTTTACACATTCATTACATGGTTCCAGAAGTAAATTCAATCTTTGGAAAAAATGTAGCAGATGAAGCCACCTGAAACTTTCAGACTAGCAGGGACCCTGGCAAAAATAAATAAATAAATAAATAAATAAATAAAAATGCAGGAGTTGGTTACAGTGCCCCCAAAGTTTCTTGGAAGCCAAGTGACATTGCAGAGAAACTAGAGACGATGAAATCCTCCACGTTGATAAATCTGACAGGTCCAGAGACATTGATATCTGCAGTGCCTTCCCAGCGGGAGCACAAAGGGGCCTACAAACTGGTAAACAAAAAGTCATTCATAAATTTCAGGAACACTATGCCCCATGCATGAATGTTGTTGGTGAAGGCACAGTTGCTTAACAAGGTACCAGCTGAGACCATTATAGCGTTTGTTTGCAGGGCTAGTGGAAAACTGTGCTCCCTGAATGAAAGTGTTAATAAACTGCACAGGAACAGTTTATGTTTCCCACTTGAGCTTGTCCAATTTTATTTTAGAAACATGGGCAGCATCACTACTTGGGAATGTATTTACTTCTATAATCTCTTCCAGTGGATCCTTGCTTTTACTATTTTAAAAGTGCTCTAGAATGCACATCTGCTATACGCGACTCTGTACCGGGCCTGGATTTCATAGATAAGCAATACTTTTACAATTTGGGGATCATTTTCTGAAGTTCAGGTGGTGTTTTGACCATTGTTTTCAAGGCTTCCAATCACTTATGATCTGTTTCTGCCTCAATCAATTTCTGCCCATAAACATATTCATGAAACCACACCCAACTAAATACAATTGTTATCGTTTGTAAAAACAATTGGTCAGCTTGGACATAGTCCTGTTGCGTGTTAGCCAGGTCTTTCCCTGCTCTGCCACAGACTTCCTGTGTGACCTTGGACAAGTCATTTACTCTCTCTGTGCCTCAATTGCTCCATCAGTAAAATGGGGATAACAGTATGTCCTTATCTCACAAAGGTGTTGTGAGGATAAATACATTAAAGACTCTGAGGCATTCAGCTACATAATGGGGACCATATATCTTTGTAAGTACGGGCAATTGTCTTGCAGGACAACCCTCAACCAATCATAAAACAACAACAACAATAAATAAATAATAATAATAACAATAATAAAGAAATAAACAAGAAGAAAAAGACTACTTTGTACTTATATAAGTCCTTCCATCTGGAGGATCTCAAAGCACTTTGTAAATATTAACGAATTCTGCAGGCAGAAGCTACTTAGAGAAGCAACATGATTAAGGCCTCTGTCTAATAAAAAAGGACTGGAATAGAGTATGGTTTCATGAGGTGTTGAGTATCACACTCAGCAAGTGTGACCAAGCAAGTGTGGACCAAGACTAGCCTAAGCGGACTGAGCTTTTCATTGCTGGGTAACTGGCTCAATCTGGCATTCGTCTACCGTACAACCTGAGCGCTCTTTGTGAGCAAGCGAGTATTTAGTCTGGTTGTGCATGGAGAGGTATCCGCCTCACAAGCGACGCTACTTGGCATCACTGTGGACAATCTCAGTGCAAAGGTTGAGGACCAAATAAGCCCTAGGAGCTGAACTGTCCTAGAAGGGTGAGGTCTGAAGCACATTGGCAGGGCAGTGTGTAGAAGCTTGTTTGGTGGATACATCCAAGACTTCAGAAGCCAGTATGGGAAGTCTGACAACTTTCTCAAGAACTCAGGGCCTGATCCAAGGACGTGTGCTTGCAGTGGGAGCTGAGGATGCTCAAGAACTTCCAGGAAGGGACAGCAATGGCCAGGTTGTTATTGCCATAACAAGTAGCACCTTCCTCCACAAGTAGTTCCCCGGAAGCTACTGGGACTGTTCATCTCGAGTAAACATAATAGAATCTAGCCCTAAAGTTGCAAAATAAATTAAATGTATTTATCAAATTTTATTTGATCTAACCTGATTTATTTTATCCATCTATCTGGGTTCAGTTCTACCTTTACTATCTATCTAGACATAGCATTACTGAGCTTTAAAGGAACCTCCAAGACAGACAAAAACAGTACACTCCCTTTTGGATGATTCTACGGCAAAATACCGCAAGCACATATTTCTTTCAGCCTGCCTCTCCCTGCCCACAAGGGCAGTCAGAATCTTTCATCTAGTATTATCTTCAGAACCCTCATGCTTATCGAAGGCAGCCAATTCAAACTTTCTACGGGCCAAATACTGCTTGGAAATACTCGGGAGTATGATGACAGGAAACGTGGAGTTAGCTGTGATGGATAACGCTGGAGGAACATAACAGTTCTGATTTTATATACACATATACAAACACACACACATGCATACAGTATCAGAGATAGTCCAAAATAAATAGCGTGCAGGGATGAGCCAGAGAGGAGTTTGATTTCCTGTTGTACACATCCCTGGTTCCCTTCAGGGAGCCGTTTCACACTTCAAACAACACTTTCTGAAAACAGAGCTCTTTGTAAACTATCTTCCTCCTCTGGATGGGAGTCATTATCTGACTAGTGTGTTCAGCACACAAAATACACTTAGTGGGACTATTATAATTTGCAGGGGCCCAGGCAATACCAGGACAACACGCTTCTGCATGGGCAGGGGGAAATCAAGTATCTGAGTGCCTCAGTCTTGACTGGATTTATCCTCACAACACCCTTGTAAGAGAGGGAAGTGCTGTTATCCTCATTTTACAGACAGTGAGGTGAGGAAGACAGTCTAAGGTCACCAAGGAAGTCTGTGGCAGAGCAGGGAATTAAATGCAGGTCTTTCGAGTCCCAGCCCAGCCCCATAACCACTGGACCATCCTTCCTCTCCTAGGCAGCGGTGCTGGAACAATGTTTATAATGGGGGTGCTGAGCACCACTGAACCAAACTGTAAACATGTCTATAATGGAAACCATTTCAAGCCAGGGGGAGCGGCAGCACCCCCAGCCCCCCTAGTTCCAGCATCTATGCTCCTAGGGAGCATGTAAGTGATCTGGTTCCTTTCCCTCCAACCTGACTGATGGAGGCTGAGTTACGGCCAGTTCATGAACTACCGACCTCTCATGGATTTCAATCACAGCTCTGTGTATCCTGATGGAAAAATCAGACCTTTGCGTTTCTACCTCTTGCTTTTAATCACTTCATTCTTAGCTATGTGGCTATGTGCCTTACACTAGAGTAGGATCTGAATTCTGCCCTAGCAACATACTTAATACAGACAAGGTAGCTGAGGTAATATCTCTTACTGGACCGTGAAAAAGACAAGCTTTCAATCTCCATAGAGTTCTTCAGGTCTGTGGAGCTTGAAAGCTTGTCTTTTTCATCAACAGAAGTTGGTCCAATCGAAGATATTACTCACCCACCTTATTTCTCTGATATCCTGGGACCGACACAGCTACAACAACACTGCAATAATATATTTAATAAACATAACTGCTATCATTAATACTAGCACAGAAAATATTAAAATGTATCAAGCTGCAGCAAATCACACCCCTTCTTTTGTTACTCTAGTTTTCCATGTCATTTTCTGAAAAGTCACAATGGACTGATGAAACCGTATATTCACTTTTGCAACAAATCGTAAACGATAACCCTGGCAAAAGCGAGTATAAATCACCTGTAGACTAAGCTGGAGAAGACTGTGTAAATGTGCAGATTATGCAGTTTAGGATGTAATCATCTCTACCAACAGGGCTTATATATTGCACTTTTTCTTTTGCAATACTTCATTGCCTAATTATTAGCCTCCTTTTTCTGCCAACTCTGAGTTTAAACATACTGTCTTCCTGCCAAGGCCATTTGATTATAAACAGCAAAGCAGCACATAAACGCAGGCAGCTGGGGAATAGATACAGTTAAGACACATGGATCATTGGGAAGAGGCGTTTAAATTTCTTAGGCCCTGATCCTGCAAACATTTAAGCACATGAGTAGCTGTACACACCCGCGTAGTTTCAGCAAATTCAATGGGACTATTCACATACATAAAGTTACTCACGCATTTAACATTTGGCAGGATCAAGCCCTTAGTTTTCCCAATTTGCTTGTTTCCTTGGGAATTAATTTTACTGAAAAGATGTGATAGTTAAAGTCATAGGCACACTTTGAAGTGAGCTATGTCTGGGTAGATGCAGTCTTGGGATAACTAACGTATATAGTTGTTGTAGTTGTGTTGGTCTCAAGATATTAGAGAGAAAAGGTGGGTGAGGTAATATCTTTTATTGGACCAACTTCTGTTGGTGAGAGAGACAAGCTTTCAAGCTACACAGGTCGTCTTCAGGTCCTGAAGAAAAGCTCTGTGTAGCTCAAGCGCTTGTCTCTCTCACCAACAGAAGTTAGTCCAGTAAAAGATATTACCTCAGCTACCTTGTCTCTGGAATAAGAGGAAGAGGGCGAATTTTTATGAGCTTGCGCTGTGTAGATTTTTCTATATAGCGCAAGACAATATACCTTTGGGTCTGCACTCGAAGGGAGGAGGACACCTGAGCGCTGGGGCAAGTCCCTTAAGCTGAATCTTCCCAGAGCTGATCTCAGTGTCTTTCTGCAGCTGGGTGTGGCCCTGCCTGTGTGTGTGCTAGAGGAGGCTTAAGAGCTTGGCTCAGCAAGACAGGTTAAAAGGGGGCCCATGCTGGCAGAACAGGTGGGCTCAGTGGTATCTCAGCACATCAGGTGGCACCTTGAAGGGGGGCAACCTGTCCCAGCTATGCTTTACATAGCTGGGAAGGGCCTTATAAATAAACCACTGCCTTGAAAAGCCACACTTGCAGAACAGCATCTCTGTAACAGAAATGACTGACAAACTTTTTTTTAGTTGATTTTAGACAGAAGGTTGGATTCTGTGGAAAACAGCAAAACTTATGGAGCAGTCCATGATTTTCTACTGGCCTCTGGCAATGACTTGCAAAAAACAAACAAACAAAAAACGACAACACTTTTTATCTTCCTGCTCCATTGGTAGGGCTCAGCAGCTGTGTGTTGGTCTTGCCACGTTTCTTTATTTTAGTCCAGCAACCAACAGCAATGTTACCACGCCAAGACATGGATTTGTACATTTTGTGTATCTTGGATAATAACGTTTTGGAAAATTTGTCCTTCAGAAATATAAAAGGTCACCCAATTCTCCGCTGGGAGTTGCATTTCTGGTTCTTTACTCTATATTTGGAATATCCACTTCTATCAATTGTATAATTTCTTGAGGCTCAGAATTATATAATTCGAAAACACTTTTTTTCCTTCCCAAAAACTACAAACAGTTTCCCAAATTTCCTTTTTGTTACCAAGACGATAGGTTACCAAGATGATAGGTACTGTTACTGATGGGACAGAGGAGAATTGCAATGATTTATGTTTTGACTTCTCCACATTTCTCGTTCATATTGATGCCGGCCATTGATCTTGCTAATATTTTACATATGCAATGTATTTATGGTAGTGGGTAGGTGGGAGGATGAAGACAAATAATCTCAATTTCCCAGATTATTTGCGTGACATCCTCCATGTCTCATGTCATTTTTTATTATTAGAAAAGAGATATATTGCTCTTTTCTCCACTTGTTTTTGCCCCTTTGATTGAAAAAACTGAGTCTCAATCTAACTGTAATCACAGCTATTGTGAGAGCCTGCAGTCATTGCCTTGATGTGGTACTCTAGTTATGATAACTCTGTGCCATTATACCAAGGTTTCCAGGACTATCACTTGCTTTCTATACAGTCACAATTCATTGATCTGCATCACAAGTCACTAGTTAACTAGAGGAGCAAACCATGACCCTAATTTTTGGACATGGCAATCAGCAAGGAAACCAGCATAGCAAGAAGCATGTTTTTGAATTGCACTGATTTATGAACATCAGGTTACATCCCATACCGTTACACAATCTACTGCTAGGTAGTGGGGGATAATTTTCCTATACGTGAATGAAAGCAGCATCAGTCACACGTTTATAAACACACGGTATTGCAAGGCTCATTGTGCCCAGACAATCAGCAAGTGGTCATAGTCCGCTACAGCTCCAGTGTTCTGCTGTAAAAAACTTGGAGACAATCTACCTTTTCTTCTGTCCCAGAATTTAAAGTAACAGCAAAATGCAGACAAACCAATGAACTTCAGTGAAGGGTACCAAACACCCTGAATCCTAATCTAGGAATCTGTTCCATGCTACCACTTTTAAGCCTTATTGAAACTTAACATGCTTTTTAAATGGATAACGTGGTGTGCACCCAAGCTACATAATTTGCAAACAGTGCTACAAGAATATTACACATCAAATCCAATTTTAGAGTCAGGTGCCTAGACAAGTGTGCTACAGAACCATGCTCAAGTCTGCAGCAGGAGCAGTTCTGAACAACAAAGTTCACTGCTCCTCAAGAGATCAGAGCATATTTTTTGAATTTCCATGTTCCAGATACATGAAGCAAGTGACTTATGTTAACATCTCTGCGTGTTCATTTTATGCCAGTGCTGTAACTTGGTTCATCCTGCATTCAAGTACACTGCTGCAGTGGGGTCGTCCAATGTGACTGAGTGCAGAACTTGGCCCATTGTGCTCCAATCCCCCCACAGGACAAGTATTGCAGTAAATCAAGCTACTGAACTTATTATTGTTCAAGCTCAGCAACTTTATAAATGGCTAAGGGTACATGAAGGATGAACTTCAGGTGCTGAGGAAACACATTGGTCAGTGTTCCATCCAACCTTATGAAACCACAGAATGCCATGATATTTTCAGGACCAGACTTCAAAGAGAAACTGCTGAGCTTCAGTTCATCTGCAAATTTGACATCGTCAGCTCAGGATTAAACAAAGACTGTGAATGGCTAGCCAACTACAAAAGCAGTTTCTCCTCCCTTGGTGTTCATACCTCAACTGCTAGAAGAGGGCCTCACCCTCCCTGATTGAACTAACCTCGTTATCTCTAGCCTGACTCACTCTTGCTTGCATATTATTTATACCTGCCTCTGGAAATTTCCACTACATGCATCCGACAAAGTGGGTATTCACCCACGAAAGCTCATGCTCCAATATGTCTGTTAGTCTATAAGGTGCCACAGGACTCTTTGCTGCTTTTACAGTTCCAGACTAACATGGCTACCCCTCTGATAACATGATATTTTCAGTAGCTGTGATGTTCCTGAGTGGAAAAGGATTTCTACTGTCATTGATTCCAGTATCCTTTCCATTGCAATTATTGTCATTATTGTACAATCCCCAAAAGCAGCATCTCTCAGCACAAGCATGCCTGCCCTAAAGGACTTGTATCGAAAACCCTGATCCCCTGAGTGCTTAGAATGATGGCCTAGTGCAGTGGTTTTCAGGCTGCGTACCCCTTTCGAAATAATGAAGTCTACCACATACCCCCATCTGAGATAGGGTCATACTATACCTATGATTAGATTGCCAAGTCTGATTAAATAAAGTGTGTTGTCTGCCACTACAGGATTTATCTTGTGTACGCCCTGACGAGAGCTCACATACCCCTCTTGAAAACCACTGTCCTAATGAATAGGGCACTGGCCTAATACTCAGGAAATGTAGGTTCAATTCCTGCTTCTGCTACAGACTTCTTGCATGATCTTGGGCAAGTCACTTAGTTGTATGTCTACACTGCCAAAAAAAGTGTGATCTTATCTTCGGTTAAAATAGCAGTGAAGACATAGTCACTTGAGGAGTCGTCTTGGGTTGAACTTCAGCTGCTAGCCAAATTGTGTCTGTATTTTAACACGGATTAGCGAACTCCAGTTAAGAACATACCTTTTTTTAAGCAGTGTAGACATATCATTAGTCTACGCTGTGCCTGTGAATTGTGGATGATATCTCCCTGTCTCACCAGGGTGTTGTGAGGTAAAGTCTTTCAGTAGCTGTTAGGCGCTCAGACGCTACTTGGATGAGGGCCATAGAAGTAAGCAGATGGCTAACTTTAATCACATCCCATTGACTTCAATCTGAGTTTTAGCAAAATGGCCAAATTCTGCATTGATTCATGCTGATGCAACCCCACTGCAGCAGTATAAGTAACTGAGAGCAGCAATTAACTAATTATTCAAGGATTTCAATGGGACTGCTGGCAAGCTAAAAGTTTTTGCAGGTTCAGAGCCTAATTTCAGATACAATGGAACAAGCAGGGAGAACTAGGGGCCAAAGACAGGGGTTGCAGCAATAAGTTACTCAGCAAAGGCTAGTATACGGCACGGTGGAGCAAACATTCCCCCTCCCCCCCCCCTTCCCCCCAAATAAAAGAAAAGTCTCATTTCTTGAGGTCACTGCAACAGAAGTCATGTGTTAGTTGCTTACCATGGGTGCCGGGCTGCTTGCTCACAGGTATATCTTTTGTTAGGGTCTTTCTCCATCAAATTCCGAATAAAATCTTTAGCTGTAAAAAATAAAATAAAATAAGCAAAAGCAATTGGGCTGAGGCCTGGAGAAGCAAGGACACACAGTGGTATTTAAAGGTTCGTCTTAATGACACTGGTATGACACAATGACTTTCTTCCCCTTCTCCCGCCCACTCAGACAGGACCCTCATCAAAATGAAGTGTGCCATTCATAAGACTAACCCAATAGGCAAGATCAATAATAATAATAATAATAAAGACACAGGAGTCAATTATCAAGTTTGAGCGCACAGACTGAGCATTCCAACTCTGTATTAGGGAGGTCAGACAGATAATGAAGGTTCCACATTCCTATTTTAACCATTTAATCATTATTTAATAGGCCTCCCCAGAAGTAAGCTAGCGGCTTCACAGAAGACACAGTCACTGGCCCCAAAGGATTTGTGTGTTACATTTTAAATGTGACGCCATGAGTGAGGGTGACCAAAAGTAGGGAGGGGATGGGGAGAAGAAGAAGGAGGGTTACAGAGCCTGTGATTACTCGTTTCAGTCAAGTCACATCTGGGTGGTTCTGTTAATGGTTTGGCTGCTGTTAAATATAAGAAAGATAGGTGGTGACTGTGATCAGCTCACGTGGGCTTGAAGCAGTGTGTGTTGAGGAGATTTTTCAATGGAGAGAAGACCACTGAAGGGAGGACATCAAAGGTGTCTGGGGCAGCCTGAAAAATGTGACCTAAGTGCCTGGCTATGAAGCCAAACTTGGAATGAAGTGGCTTGATTTAGCCTCCTGGGGTTAATCTGATCTATTTGGGGGAGATTCCCAAAAGCACTCTCGGGATTTCTCAGGAAAAGTCCCACTGACTTTCAGCTTTGTGATCCTAAATTCCCTAAATCTTCCTCTGGCTGGATTTCTACCATCACCATGGTATCTGGGCACCAGATGTGCACAGTATGAAATTTTGTAGTACTAGGAAGTTGTTAGCTGCCCCAAGCACAATCCAGCCTGGGACTCCAGTACACAATTGGGTGGCTAGCCCACCCTGCCACCTGTGCTGTGCCAGATGCACGGATATTTTTAACATGCTAATTTGATCAGAAATAGCACATGTACATCTGTCCGAGCTGGAAATTATACCTCCAACTCCAGTGTACACAGACCTTAATAACATGCCTGGGTTAAACAGCAAGTCTGGCAGATCAATCCAGAACGTCTGACTCCCAGCCTAGTACTGTAACTATTAGACCGCATGCCCTCCCTTCCCAGGGGATTGATGGGATTTTTCTTTCCTTGTTGTTTTAGCCATTTTCATTTGGAAGCCATTGATTTCCTGGGTTTGCTTCTTTCCTGTTTACACTGCACAGATTCGTCGATCTGGCCAGCAATACCCATTCAGGAAAAAAAGCTGAATTATTTTGTTTTCTATTATTGGAGACAGATGAAAATGTGCATTTTATTCGGATGTGCTGGAAAAATGAAAGTATGTTGTTTTCTTGGGGCTGAATACTAATTCTCATTTCATGGTCTTCTCTACAAGTCAAGTTTGGGTGCTTTATGCCTGATGCTGGGAGGAGACAGGACTTAATTTGAGGCTCTCATAAAAATAATTTCCCATGATGCTTAAAAAATATTTGGGTTAAAATCCTGCCCTCAGTTGAACATATACTTCCCTCTGACCTCAAGTTAATAGGAGTTAGGCATACTATGGAGATCCAAATTTCACCCTTGGAAAGTATGCATGTTAGACGTCAGTAATATGAAGGAATGTGCAAGACGTGGCTATTGCAATTAAATGAGCTCCTTACCAGAGTCCGAGATGTCATCCCAATATGGAGAGTCAAATTCATATTCCGCCTTAAGAATCTGCTCAAAGAGCTTGGAGTCATTTTCATCATAAAATGGAGGATATCCACAGAGCCTAATAAACAAAACAGATCAGGGGATGTGAAGCACTTTAATCGCTTTCTGGGGAGAAGGTAACAAATGAGGAGGAGGAATTCATATTCGTGAATCATGACTGAAATACATGGCACCATTCAAGCTTCCCACGTGCTTCTCTAATAGATGCTCTCTTTGGTCAGGAGCAAGTGCCTTGTTGCAGCTACACACAGAGTCCTGATTGCTGAAGGCCCAATCCTGACCCTTGTGCGAAGCACAAATGAAGATGGGCTTTATGCAGGAATTCTCCATGGAAACCCCAGCACAGCCTCAGAGTTGCAGAGGCATCTGTGCTCCACCCCAACCCCCGGCTACATTTTCAGGGGGCATTTGGCCAATGGACCCATAGGATCAGACACAATAGCCATGATCCCCTCATCCATCCCTGCCCCTATGAGGGAGGGAAGTTTTCATGGAGTGCTGCTCCATGTTGCAGAGAGAGATCAGAACCCCCGGCACAGCCTCTATCACAGCTGGGACCTTTCTCCATAGCCTTCCTTAGCCCTTCTGAAGTCTCTGGCCCCCAAAACGGTCCACACACAATTTAAATCGACTTCCTTCCAGTGGTTTAGGGCCCAGACAGCTCCGATCTGGTGACAGTGCAGAGGCTCCCTAGGCTGGCAGGCATCCCCTACTCTTGGAACTCTGGAGCGCACAAAGGAAGCATGGCTCCTGTAACAAGCTCTGCTGGCTGGGGCAAGGTAGGGGCAGCATCAGGACTAGCCCTGAGCACTCTCTGGTACATCTGCATTACAGCCAGGGGCGTGAGTGGCAGCTCGTGTAGACACACCCGCACTAGCTATCTTCTAGTTAGCTCGCTAAAAACAGCAGTGCGGGGGTGGAGGCGCAGGCTTCAGTGCCGGCTGCATAAGACTGCTCGGCCCTCCTGGGCATATATTTGTGTGGGCAGCCCACGCTGAAGCCTGTGCCGTGGCGTCCTCACTGGTATTTTTAGCAAGCTAACTAGAGGACAGCTAGTGTGGATACATCTCCACGAGCTGCCATTCATGTACCCAGCTGTAGTGCAGATGCGCCCTCCCTTTTGCGCCAGAGGCACTAGCTATGAGGGGAAGGTTCCTTGCCCATCCATCCCATCTTACTCTTAATGTCCCACAGAAAATAAAACTTCTGAATCACTGCTAAAGAAAAGCTGTACTTATCAATCATTATTATTTGGATTTGGGTAGTACCCACAATGCACTAGGCACTGTTTGCCCACACAGTCTCTGCCCCAAAGATCTTACAATTTAAGGGGGAAAGTAATATACTGATAAAGGGCAAGGGAGGGTGAATACACTCAAAATATAGATAATTTTATATATACATTTAAAATTAAATAAATACATTCTAGCTCTACCCAACTACCTCTCAACCTACCCATTATTAGTTGGCTAATTTCTTGTAGGTGTCATATCATCTCTCCCCCTATGTACCTAGCATATTTATCTAGCTCCAGCCCTCGTGGTATCTAGATGCTAACAAGGTATATTTGACAAAGAACTACAAATAATTTAATGCTTGATCTTTTGCATCCATATAACAAAAAAAAGATCCAATCCTGGAATCCTTGTTTTATCTTGACTTAGGCAAATCTCCTGGCCCTATGTATTTATAGCTAGACATTTTGGAAGCTTAGCGCTAAGATAACTAGAATGTTAGCATACATAAAACATTGTCTGTATAGTTAGACCAGATGAGCAGTGGCATTTTAATTAAAGCATTCAAAGATTTTCCCCAGCTGTCTTGTTTTACATACAGGAGTGAACACCACAATTGTAAAATGACAAATGTACTTTAGAGATTGATCCAGCATTTAAGAGAATTGTGCTTTTGCTCACAGTAACACAGGACCTTTCTATCTGCTCTGTTCCAATTACTATGTCTGCACTGAGTTGCACCAATCTTCATCACTTATCTTTAGGTTAGGTTAGTTCTCATGCTGTCACTTGAGCAGTGTATATATGGAGATATACCTATCTCATAGAGCTGGAAGGGACCCCGAAAGGTCATCAAGTCCAGGCCCCTGCCTTCACTAGCAGGACCAAGTACTGATTTTGCCCCAGATCCCTAAGTGGCCCCCTCAAGGATTGAACTCACAACCCTGGGTTTAGCAGGCCAATGCTCATAGCACATGTAGGGGCCATGTGCTTCCATAATGTTCTGTCCTGTGTCAAATCTGGCATGTTACACCTATGAGAGACAGGTGTTTATTGACGCTGTCCGGCCACTGTGTTTGAGGAGGGCTTTTCCATCCTGCATTCATTGGGTCAAAGTTGAAGATGATTATAGCAGAGAAGTTGGTAGGCATTTGGAACAAAAGACCATACCACCTTAGAGAGCACTGGGTATCTGTTTGAGAGTACAGGACCTGTTTAGTTAGAAAACAGATATCTTCATTTGGCTTGAATTTCTACCATTCAATGTTTTCAATCATTCAAAGATGCTTAATCTGAATGATACTGAATGAATCTTTTTAATCTTGACAGTGGGGGCCATGTTTCAGTCCCATCGATCAGGATACTGACCACCAAAGCATTATATATCCGCAGTTTTGTCTCTCTCCTTATCAGGGTGTTCAATTGGCAGAAGACATTCTCGATGAAGCACCCCATTACTGACGCTGCTTTTGCAGTGATGTCTTCAAGTTCTTTCTCGATGAAGCCCATGTTACCAACAACAGAGCCGAGGGAGGTGAAATCACCAACAATCTCGACTGGGAGGTTGCCCACTAAGATGCTAGAGCCTGCAGTGCATTCAGAATGACTGACAGGAAGAATTTTGGTTTTGCCCCCAAATCATTTTCAGGCTGACTTTTGCAGCTGAGCTTTCTGGGGCTTTAAGCACAAAAGTCAGCTTGTGCATTGCTTTGACGACTAGCGCTATGTCACTGGCTTATCATCAAGACGCATGCCTAAAATGCATGTACTTAGTGTCTGTTCAAGCACGTGGCTTATTGCAGAGTTCTGGGGCGGCAATGCAACTCTGTCGAACATCCAACCTAATTCGGAAGAAAGCAGTTCTCTTCCCAGTTACAAGAATGCAGCTTGAGGAGTCATGCAAGAGAAGGAACTTTCTACACAGCTTGTCAGGGAGGACTATGAGTTTCAAGACCAACCAGAGTGACTCCCTGTCAGAGTGGTTGAGGTGGGAGAGGTGTTCATCTGAGCAGCTTCAGTTTTGGTATTGCACTTGTTGCTTCAACCGTACCGCCACATCTCATTGGTAGGCAGTCTAACCTCCTGTGCTAAATGCACTGTACAGAGCAACATCAACCCTGCCAGACTGGGTGGAGCCCACCCCGGGGTTCTCACCTTTTCCCACGGGACCCAGGCCTAGGGTCGGACGGGCTAGCAACTGCTATGAAAGTAATGAATCTGTTTGCCTCAGATCAATGTGATTTATGATATATTAAAAATTAATCTCACAAGTAGGGGTCTTTTATGTATTGAACAGAAAAAGTGTTAACCCTTAATAAGGAAGGCTCAAAGAAGCTGCTCATTAGAAAAATGTCCAGGTTAAAGATGCCAATCATTGGCCTCACTGAAACCCACCTTAAAGATAGAGGGGAAGAAAGAACAGGCAACTATCATCTTACGCAGTCAGGTGCTCAGGGCACGAGAAAGGAAGGAGTGGGTCTCCTCCTTAAACGTCATATATGCAAACTGATCTCTTCGTCTGAACCAATGTCCAGTCACCTACTCAAAGCCCAGCACCAGCGTAAGCGTGGAAGATGGACAATTATTCTTTGCTATGCTCCAACCAACGAAGCTTCTGATGAAGACAAGACAGAGATCTACAGTCAACTCAGCAATCTTCTGTGAACCATCTTGAATGATGACGTCGTCACTCTTCTGGGTGAATTTAAGGCTATTGTTGATAATTTGAGTAAAGCATGGAAAAACATTATTGGGCCTGTTACCCTGGATGGTGAACACTTTTTACAGTTGTGTGTTTTTCATGAGCTTGGCATTATGAACACCTGGTTTCACAGGACGCAAATTCACCCATTTACTTGGCAGAGTAACGACGGCCCAACAAAGAAGATGTTTGATTACATGATAATCTCTTGTAATTGAAAACTATCCATTTGCCACTGAAGAACATAAAGTAGTCTCTGCAAATTTGTCTTAGACTAAAAAGCACAGGCAAAGCAAGGATTGGGTTACCAAAATTTGATTTATCGAACCTAAAAATCGATAGCATTCAAAATCGCTGTGCAGTTGAAATCTTGAACAGGTCTGAGACCCTGCCAGAGTGTACTGATGCTGAACCTGCCTGAAAGGACTTCAGATCCCACACAATCAATGCCACTAGGACCATCACTGGACCCCAAACACAGCGCCCAAGAAGCCCTGGATCTCTGTTAATCACTTAACCATCACTGAAAAGCATTGCATGGCTCATTTGAGAAGTAATGTGTGGTCACATATTGTAAGCTACAAGGTGCTTGTAATAAAGCAATAGATGCTGACTGCAAACCTTTTGTGGAAATCAAAGCCATCACACTTGAGGAAGCTTCTGTGATGCTTTTCGCAGGGAGCCCAGAACGGTAAGCCACTGTATTACCACGCCGCCTCAGCAAGAGAGAGCTTTGCTGGAGCTTACAGGGTGTGACAGCTCCTTGCCAACTGGTTTGTCTGCCTCACCAGCAAACTCCTTGAAACTCTGCCAGTCTGAACCTTGCCTTGCAAGTATCATTCCGTGAACCCCAGGTCCCAAGAGGTGTCTCTCTGCAGTGTCCAGTCCCTCTCACTGGTCATTCACAGAAATTATTAAGTATGCTGCCTCCAAAGAGGCCATGTGCAACCCAGCCTGTCAGAGTAGCTGAGGACCCACACTTTACTTTAATATAACAGCACTGAGATGGTTTATAGTAATACTAAAGAATGCAGATTTAAGTGATACTAAGCAAGAGAAAAAGAGACAGATCTGGTTACAAAAATAACATGCTGTCTAGTAACTGAAACATAACTTTAGCAA